GAGAGAGAGGAATAGAAGAATTCTCCCACAGAGAAAAATGAAGCCCCATACCACTTGAGGGAATCTATTTATCTGTCATCTTGGTCCTCTCTTGCAGGCGACAAGTTCTTTGGCTCTCATCCATTGTAAAGGTGGGGACGAAGAAGTCTGGATCAACTTAATTCTCTAGAAGGATCAACTTAATTCTCCAGCAAGCGCTGATAATTCTTCCGATGTTGATGGATGAATGGAAGGTTGCACCATTTCGCTTTCGATTGTTCTGGGGCATCATGCCAAGTTTAGGTGTTAAGTCCGCCTCTCCTTAGTCATCTTTTCTTGTTTCTGGGGTCTAAACCATTGATGCTTAGGTATTTAGTCTTTGTGTACTCCTCTGCTGGAGGCTTTTTGGCTTCTGGATCGTTGTACTCATGTATTTTTTTTTTTCAAAAACTCTTTGAATGAAGTGGCTGGGGCTTACACTTGTCGGTTCCCATCCTCTCTTCTTTATTTAAAAAAAAAGAAGTTCTTACCAGTTAAGTTCTTTTAACTTTTTGATTGCTTTAATTTCTTAGGGCCTGTCTTCCCTGGGTCGCCATCAAATTACAAGGAGTTTGCCTAGAGTTGAGATATTTATTCTGATAAAATGGTATTGCTATTGCCATTCGAGTCTTAGAATTAGCATGAGTTCAATCTCAATGCTTACTTCCTCATCTATGTCTGAGATTTTCAAATAACAGATGTTGATGACACACTGCAATTGTTCTTAGTTGGCTGGACCTTGGACCTGTTTCCCTTTATTATCGAGTATCGACCTAGTAGGGGCGAAAAGTGTCTTCCCCAGATTTTATGCTTTCACTTAGAGCCAAAGTCAAGGGCATAACTCTTTACAGTTATGTGTCCTTCAATAGTCTAGTCTGAGACATTCATGGATGAAGCTCAGCCTTTTGATTTAGTTTATTTAGGCAGTTGAGGACTTATTAGTCATACGATTCAACTCCTTTGCCATCCAGTAAGAAGTCCTTTTAAGGCTTTATTACTTGGTTGCATGAACCTCTAAGCTAGACAAGAGAATCAATAAGGTGGTGCCAGTCTACTGGCAGTAGCTATCGTGATGTAGGATGACTTTCTACTGGAAAAATCACAAAAAAAGCATATGAAGAAAACAATAAAAAAATGTTGAAATTTCTTTTTATTGGAAATTTGGTTTTAGTAGAAATTTTCTTGTAGCCTTATTTATAAAAGTCAAATTATTAGGTAGAAATTTTATTGATTTAAGAATGTTTCTAGAATATTTATTATTAGGAAAGTTTTATTTTAGAATGATTAGATAGGTACTAGTTTCCTCACGATCAAGTTTTGTAATTCTCTAAAAACTAATTTTCTTCGATAAAACTCTGTAAGGAAAAAAGATACAATTTCTATAGATTGTGTGATGCAACCTTGGGTGGTGAAACCTTACATTTTGAGGATACGGAGCTTAGCTGGAGTGAAGACATTCATTTGGGTGTGAGACCAGGAGTGAAGCCAATGATTCAGACCTGAAGCATTGATTCAGGAGTGAAGCATTGATCCAGGCATGGGGATAAAATCTTAAATTTCTACTTCTCTTTTGTTGTTCCTCATTCCTGATCACATAGCAACATGTGGAGCTCTAGATCTTTTTATTCTCTATATGGTAAAATATATTAGGGGAAAAAAACAAGTTAACATGAAAAGTGAGTAAATTAAGCACCCTCTATTTCCTCGCAGGCTTGCACTGATCTGCAATACTAATGTCTTCAAACAATCACAATTTCACTATAATCAAGTTCCTGTGGTACTGAATAGGCTGACTTCAGCATTCTTTGTGCGAAAGATCATCTACCATTTGGCTTTTCAATGCACTTGTTATCGGCCTCAAATCAGAAGGTTGGTGCATAATTTTTGTTTGCTTAAATGCCTTCCTTTTGAGCTTCTATAGTGTCCCGCCCAAAAAGCAGAACAATATTAATCAAACTGATTCTCTCTCTCTATGTGGACATTTCATTTGAAAGGGCCTTTATAAGGTTGCTCTAATTTATGGATGTTAGGCGGACATAGTTTTCGCACTTCATGACATCGACAAAGGGCTCCTTGATGAATTATATAGTTTTAGCATTATTCTTGAGTTGGATAGCAAATTTAGATTTTGCTGTAACGCTTGCTAGGTTTAAAGGAATGGCCCTTAACAGAGGGCCAAGTCGTGTAGCCGATGCCAAAAGTTTGGAACAAGAGATATGTTGTTGTTGCTAATGCTGCTGTTGTCGAGTTTATCTGATCTTACCTGTTAACCAACAAAGTCAGGATTTCATATTCCATTATTTACATTCTTTTCTACTGGAATACATTTGCCTAGCTGTTATATCCTAGGTTTCATCAAACTATACGTTCCTAGTGTTTTCCAATCATTTCACTCTACATCTTTTATGTTGAGCTCATAGGGATCCCCCACACAAGGGGGACCTGGGTTCCACACGTACCATCTTCCATTACACGTAAGGCACATACACATGATAATTGATTCCTTCTCGGTTTTACCTAGCACGTAATATTACTGCAACTCGGGCTGCGCTCTGCTGCGAACACGTATTTTGGAGCTATGCAAACTATCTCCAGTTGTCAAGTTTAATGCAAAGGCATCTGTCCCTGTCATCATTCAGTGTGTGCTTGAGGGAGAGACTGTGACCGAGCAATGGATTCTTACTGTAGATGGAGTTCTGAGGCTTGCTGAACTGCTCTATGAAAACCCAGGTCAGTTACTTCTGTCCACTTTTCACTTCCTTAACTACTAACTAATGAGGCGACCACTTTGCTTCATCATTGTACCTCAAAATGCCAATTTTTATGTTATCTTTATGAGCAAGTTTGTATTCTTTTAATCTCTGCAATTCAATGGCACACTCATTTATTACCAACCAACTTCCCACGTCGTCCCCACTCTGCTACTTCATCATTGCTTTCGTTGTTTTACAAAACTGCTGTGCAGCCAAAATGGATCACTTCTCTCGGTACATTGTCCAGGAGAATTAAGAACACCATTGAAGAGTGTGGGCCCTCATTTTTATGTGTGCATTCTTTCTTCCCTTTAGTACCTTAATTCTGTTTTAAGGTAGAGTTTCCCAGGCCACGCCTTGCCAACTGGAAGGAGCAAAATTGTTACCCTGAGTTATTTTTAGGCCAGTGCGGTCCTCTGGGGGATCTACTGAAAGTTCTGGGGTTGCTCAAACAAATAGTGTGATGGACAATTAAATGTCATTTTGTAGACAATTTATAGCTATTAGTTGGAGTTGTCCGTTGTTGAGAGGTGCCTGTGAAGGCTAATACTTCCCTTTTCCTTCGTCGTTGATTTTGACGGGGGGGGGGGGGGGGGGAGAGTCTATCGCGTTGCTCCTCTCGATTGGACAGAATGCTTGAGGTTTCACCTTAAACAAGGACACGTAGCTTGTTTCTGTAGTGGTAATCATCCATTTTCCTGCACGTTGACAGGATCCTGTGATGGCTAATACACTTATGGGCCATTAAATTGTGCTGGATCTGGACTGTTTAAGGATGCTTTAGTTGTTTAGATCTTTTGATTAGCTCTACCATCCATTTCTAATCTATCACATCGTCTCAGACTATCTATACGACAGCAACAGAACATGTATTTTTATTTCCCCTTTCCTTCTATCGGTAGATGATTTAATGATTTCTTTATGTTCTGATCGTTATGTTACCCGGTTGTACTACCCTTAGCTTTTGAGATCGCTCTCAGTTTTCAGCTGGAACGGGTCCATTAATAGATTTCGACGTCTGAACCATAAGTTCTTTTGGTTTGAAACGGAGCAGATCATTGTATATCCTCCACCAGATTCAGACAATAGCTATTTGAGATATATATTTTTTTAAAAGTTGCCTATCATACTTCCACCACTTCCTTGATTTTGGGATTCTACAGTCGTATCATGGTTCGTCTGTATTCGTTTTTCAGTACCATTGCCCCTTTTCTTCTGTGGTAAACGACTTGATGATCTATGATTGGATTGGAATTATGTTCTGAATGTTAACTTACCCGGATGCACTGCCCTTCACTTTTGAAATCATTTTGTAAGAATGTCGCACTGGATTGGTTCCATAATTAGACTTTGGCGTGTAAACCATTGTTTAAAAAGGCGGAAGTGCAAGGCGAAGCCTTAGACCCTTCGGTGAAATGAGGCGTAAGCTTCGAAGCATGAAGCGTAAGCCTCATGAGTTTAACTATTTTAATTTTAAAAATTATCTGATTAGTAAATAAGAATTAAATATGTGAAGTATAGACATTAATCTAATAAACTAAACTACATGCTATCATATATATCTTATTTACACTCATATTGACATATTGAGGAGACATAGAGGCATTTTTATGTTAGTTAAAATTCATTTTCTATCATCCTGTCCTGTCTAAAGCGTGCACTATAGAGAGAAGCACTTTATGAAGCTCAGAGCACCCACATCGGTTATGCTTTAAGCATAAGGCGTAAGCTTCAAGGGACGAATAGCTTCTCTTTTGAGTTTCGAAAGTGTTTTTACCCTTCAGAAAAAAGTTATGAAGCGGTTTCAAAAATAGATTTTCCAAACATTGATCTAAACCATATGTTAATTTGGTTTGAAACGAAGCAGATAAATGTATATCTTCCACCAAAAAAGTAGGTAATTTGAGATTTCTGTTTTTAAGTTGTCTATTATACTTCCACCACTTCCTTGATTTGGAGATTTTAACGTCAAATCGTGATTCATATAAAGTCAGTTCACCTCCAGAAATCTTTTACCCCAGTACTTGGTCCTAATAGAGAGAAGGAGAAGGGGGAAAAGTTCATTTCAAACATACCTGTTTCTGATCTGTCAATATTGCAAACATTTTGAGGCATGAGGCCTAGTAAACTGTAGTGGACCTTTCTAATTAGAGTTTTTGCTTGACATTTTGAGATTAGTGAGAGAGGACGCATCAAGGGAAAAAAAAATATGCAGACATCATTAGCTAATAAGGCAAAGGTTCTTCTATATCACTCTTAAGTACTTTTATTATACATAAACAATACACTCCTGTACCTATCAAACTGAAAGCAGCGTATAACACACTTCCCTTTAGACACAATACAAACAAATATATTACAGGAAGGCTCTTACGTGTAGCTAGACTTTGATGAGCTTCATAATTAACTCTGAAAGAGATATTTTATGTGTATAATAGATATAATGTGTTGTTATTCACCACCTAACAATGGGGAGCCCACCGACCAAATCTCAGGCCTGAAACTGACCGAAACTACATGAAAAAGTTGTCTTGGCCCTGCGCAGGGGAATTTGGGCAGTTCCTGTTGAGTAGCTCTTCAATCATCTGCAATGCTAATCTTTCCTCTTCATCTATTCCTGATTCTCCGATACCCTGACTCGATGTTCCTTCACCTGCAGCTGATGACGAAGGAGACGGCGATGCATCTTCTTTTGGCGGTGCCGGTTGCTCCATTTTACCGAGCTGGACCGTCATGACCCAGTTGGAATCAGCACGGGCGCCAGCCCTCTTCTGCCAGACTCCAATGTGTGACTTCTCAGTGTCGAGCCTGAGGCAGGTAAGGGATGGGGATGGAGCCTTACAACATTTCCTCAGCTTGGCACTCAGGACCTCGGACAGGTTGCTGCTGGAATTAGCATTGGCAGATGATTTCTCCCCAGGTTGGGCGTCGCCAGATTTCTGGACCGGGAAGTTGGTCTTGGCATTGCGGCCGCTCATCAGCACTGCGGCCTCGTCATAAGCACGAGCAGCCTCCTCAGCAGTCTCGAACGTGCCAAGCCAAACCCTTCTTTTCCTGTTGTGCATAGAATCGGAAAGGTTAGAATTTGGTTTTGGAGAAGAATGAGTAATGCCCGCGTAGAACTTACAGTAAGGGGTGACGTATTTCAGACACCCAGGATCCCCAGTGCCTCTGTCGGACTCCCCTAAATTTCTTCGACTGAACCATGTCAGAAAAGTGCACCGACGAGAAATGAATGAATTGTTGAAGAGAGAGCAGAGTGGGTGGGGGGGATTAAAAGGGGGGGCGAGAGGACTCAGTGTAGAATGTACATGAGAAATTTGTGCAGGGTGTTTTGTCGGTGAGCTCTGGCCAAATCCATAACCACCATGGTACGCTGGTAATAAAACACTCTCACCTACGCCCCAGCGAGGAATTAATGATGGCGGACTTTAATGAGGCCCCTTCAGCTGTTAAAAACTCCCAGTCACGTGCAACCCACATGCCTCGTTCCATGCGCAAATCATTGGAGGGATGGTATATACGAGTTTTTATCTTGAGCCGGTATTTATTTTGGCTCAAGGCAGTGGGTGGCAAAAGTACAGGGAAGCGCAGCAGAGAGCGCGTTGCAGAGGGACAATATCCCGCTGGGGGTCCGAGGTTGTTACGCGTTGTACGCGAACCTCATTAACTTTTTTTTTTTTTTTTCACATTCATTTCTGAACAGTGAATTTCCTCTCCTCTTCCGGCGTATCGTGTGGCAGTTTTACCGATGATCGATGATTGGAAACTTGACGGGGAGTAATGCGCGTGAAGCCTACTTGTGTTCTTGGAAAACTTTAAAGCCGTATGCGCGCCTATGTTAATTTTTTGGTACTTTTTTTTTAAAACATGAGATGGGCAAAGCCTTTGCTGAGAATAGTAGGATGAGCCGTGCCTACAAAAAAAACCGAGCTCGTCGTGACCACAGGAGAGAAAAAGGAGGTGCCGGTCATGTTATCTGGGGATAACAGCTCACGTTCTATTGAGCGCATGCATGTACCCCTCAAACGGGAGGATCCGCATTGCTGGTTCTTTTCTTGATAAAACGCCAGTTTGAACGTGTAGATTTGTTCGGTTCGACGGCGATGTTTGTTTCTCCCTCCCAAAATTTTGTCAGCGTGAAGAGAGTGGCTCCCAGATGTTAATTATTTTCGTTTAGATATTTAAGGTATTTACCTGTCATGTTACTGTTAAGCGTGTTCGAAATTTTACTGTTACATTGTTTGATTGGATGTTGTTTCAGCACCAGCGAGCCGTAGCGAAAGCGTAATAAGCTCAATTAAGAGATTTATGGGTGCATTTAAATTGAGGAGCGATCTAACAGTACGAGCTGGGCCTACGTGATTTTGCAAATACCCATTTTTCCGTAGATTCTGATGGTAACTGGATAGCGCTCTACGTAAGATTTGACATAAAATCTGCCTATAACATATTTATTAGAATGGAATATCGTCATTATGTTGAATAAAGTTTTGATAGTACGTGGGGTTTTCTGCCTTTAAAATTTGATTGTATTTACTTGGTCTGCCATTGAACCCCCACTCCCCTAAAGTAATTGGAAGATGGGTGGGAGTTGTTCGCCTTCATTTATTTAGCACAGGGTAAAGAAAGAAAGAAGGAAAAAAAAAGAAACAGCTATATTTGTCTGTGATTACTCCCCTCTTTTCTGAAGTTTGTTACAAAGCTGTCCATCTACCTGTTGCCCCTAGAAAAATTTATCACTTGTTAAATGCCTCTCCTCTCTCGTCCTCAAATTTTGTGCTTCAAGCGGTCATCTGTGGACGTTGCAAGTTTAATGAGGTTTCCCACAGTGGATGGCTCAATGATTGTACACGGTTGTCTTTCTGCAATTTGTCCAAACTTTTTAACCGTGATCGTTTGTTGGCTAAATTTCAGAAAAAACCCTCTTGACTCTGGACGATTATCGGATAACCATCCATAACTTTTAAAATAATAATAGAAAACCACCCTTTAAGTTTAGGGGTTGTCAGAAAACCACGTTCAACTTCAAGATTCTATTTATTTTTACTTATTTTTGTGAAAACCCCTAATGCTGTTGAGCGCAAATTTCACGTAAAATTGTGGTTCGTATTTTGAGGAAGAATTTTTGAATACCCTTGAAAGTTCAAGGAGATGTTCTAATAAGCCCTTAAATTAAAGGGGATTTCTGATATTTTAAAGTTTGGGAGGTTGTCTGATAACTTTTTAAAGTTAAAGATATTTCAAAGTTTTGGGTTTTGTCTGATAGTTTTTTAAAGTTAAAGGGTTTTTTTTTTTCTCCTGAAATTTGGACTTATTCGTTCCACCATAGATCTTTTCTTTTTTCTAAAAAACAAGGCGCATCTCTAATATTCTTTGTCTTGACTATGTTGTACAAATTTCTCAAAACATCTTGATTGGGGTCTGTCTACCATAGAAATTAATTTCTTTGTTACATATCTTGAGTTGCTACTTGATTGAGTAAATGGGATCTAAAGTGATACTCTAGCTAGTAGTCTATACATTAAACAATAAAGCTAAGATAACATCCACTTCTACCTAAGTTTGAGTTGGAGCTTTTAGTGTTGGACGAGGATTATACTTTGCAATTATAAAAGAAAGCAAGGGTAAAAACAAGAATTACTTCTTAAATATGATGCTCACTATTTCCAGTTTCTAGTCAAATGATCATCAATTTTTTCCGCGTAGTCCTCGATTTTTTAACAGTCATATACGAATTTATACGAGGATATAGATAATTATAATACTATTGTCATTTTACCTCCTCCAAAATATTGGAAGAATTGTCTATGAATCTTAGGAAATTACTGAAACTTTTAATAATTTATTATCAAGTGGAAAAAGAAGTGAAATGTAGGTTAATGTCTATAGACTATAGTGATATATCAAACGTATACTTTTACCACCTGCTCTTCTCTTTCTCTCAAACTTTCAGAGAAACACAATGCCATTGTTCAGTGAATTAGACTGGCCCTAACTCTGTTAATTAGTTACAAGAAGAGGTAAAAAAAAAGGGTATTTGCACTTTAATACCCTAAATCTCCACCCATTTTTAACATTGATATCTTGAAATTCTATTTTGATGTAAAAAATTCGACGTTAATTTTTGTTCAAAAATATCGATATAGAAAAGTGAATGAGTTGAAAAGAATTCAGTTTTTAAGGGTTTGGAAAAATGAGGAACGAAGTTGCGACTGAAACTTTGAGGCAGCAAAGTGCAAATAAGCCAAAAGAGAAGTTTGGATGAGGGAGAGAGAGAGATAGGAAAGGAGGCACATGGTGACATTTACTTCCGATGGCAGCTGATTGGCTCCTGAGGAGGTGGGCATCAGTTGAGAAAAGTCTGGTGAAAGGTCAGTTAGCATTCATTGAGTGTTTTTTTTATAACAACTACTGTTGCTCCAACTCTTAGGGCAACTGAGGGGGTGTTTGTTTTAAATACTGTAATTTTAGGAAATGGATTTCAACATGTGATTTAAAATTCACAGATGTTTTGTTATGGGTTGGGATTTTTTAAAATATTGTTTGTTTCATTAATATTTTAGGATTTGGAATACTATAATTTGTAATATTTTCTTTGTTTTAAGCTCAAATTGCAACATTATCAAATGCTAAAATTTTGTAATATGATGAATATGCTATCTTGGTGATGTTATCTCCCATAAAAAGATAAAATTGGGATTTGTTAAAATCATCTCAAAATAAGAGATAAGCACATCCATTTATGAGATTTGTCAAAATCCTCTCCGATTTAGAGGACTTGACAAGTTCTAAAACTTGGGCACTCTTTACATTTTTGGGATTCAATATTCTAAAACTTTTCTTAAAACGAACACCATATATGGAATCCCAAAATACAAAAAACTTACTTTTTGATCCCAAAATTTGTAATCCATACCAAATGCCAAAATTTTTGGTGAAACAAACACCCCCTTACTATGTTACCTTGGATACCAATGTCCTATTTGTGGTAAGTGTTAACCAATATTTGGCTAAAATTCTAATGTTTCAAGTGTAATATTCCTCACAAGAACCAATTATTGTCATTCATCAGTCCCTGTGCTACAAGCCACCGTTGGACACATAACCAGAGTGATGTTGATGCTCTCATCTGTACTATGTTTCCGAGCCACTATTATTTTGGGAAAAACAAACCAGTACTATGTAAAAAAAATAAATTATATTATGATGTAAGGAAATTGCAACGTGCATAGAATGCAGCTTAATTTTAAAGTTGGGCATTGAACTAATAAATCTGTCTGACTGTACTGAAAATGAATTTTGGCTACACAAATATTACGTACCCGTTACAACTGTTCAGAATAAATAACCAGACATGTAACACAATCTCTTTTCTTCCTGTATGAGTTTTTATATATAGCACTGTTCTGATTCAACATTTATAATGCCAGATGCATAAAAATCAAAAGTTTCTAGTAACAAATTACAAATAACAACTGATACAAGTCTAACCAAAGAGTGGTCAAAAACAAACTAGACTCAATAAGACTTGCTACACATAAGCACTGGAGAAGCATCAAAACAAAACAACAAGTGCTCCAAAATAGACTAAATGCTTCAACCTCTGCCAAGCATCAAACGAAACGCGAAAAGCTCCAAAATAGGCCGAGTGTTTCAACGTCTTCAAAAGGAGGCCAAAAAGACAACATAGAGGAGGATAGGAGGATCAACCTGTGGTTGAGGAGTTATCACCCACATCAGCATCGCTGTTAGATTGTGCGATATGCTTCAGTCCCAGGTTGATTGCCGCTTGATGGAGCTTAGGTCCAGATTTACTAGCATTAGTACCTGTCCAAGATAGAACATGTCTAGCTACATTAGAAGCAATGCGATGATGACAGACTTCGATCCCATTAAAGACGAAGTTGTTGCGGCTATTCCATAAACACCAACAGAAGCACGGCAAAAGGACTCTCCATAATAAAATGATGTCCTGATTGATTGCTGAAATGAAATTGAGAGAGATCATGTCATCCAGGTTATGAGGCCGATCAATAGATGGGATGAGTGGAAGAAGAAGAGACCACGTTGAAGACGAGATGGCACACCTAGTGAATAGGTGATCATGAGATTCGATGACCTCATTGCAAAGAGGGCAGAGCGGACTACCTTCCCAACCTTTAGCAGCCAGATTCTCCCTGGTATTCAACTTGTGCTTGCTGGCAATCCAGAAAAACACTTTAACCTTCAAAGGAGTAGGGGAGTTCCAAATGAATTTGTAGTAGCGAGAGGTAACTCCACCCGAGGTTATGAGATCGTAGAATGATTTGACAGAATAAGAACCTGAAGGAAGATAAGGCCAGTGAAGCTTGTCGTGGGAAGCTGAAGCTTGGATTGAGAAGTAGGCTAGGTGGTTAAGGAGATCATTTGTCTCATCCTTAGCTATCTGAGTGATACCTCTCCTCAGAATTGGATGTCACTGCCAAGTAGAAGATTGCATTAAGCCTTGCGATAGAATGGAGCAGTTTTTAGAGAAAGCCAGAAGGTGAGCATTTGGGAACATACTACTCAGGGAGTTGTCTCATGTCCATTTATCCCTCCAAAAATTACAAGTTTTACCATCCCCCAGGGTCCATTTCACGTGGCTGAAGAAGGGAGAACTGATGGAGTGCAACTCACGAAAGAATTTGGATGCCGAGCTTTTGGGAGGTTGGCCAAGAGGATTGGATTGATCTTTAGAGTATAAAGAGAAGAAGACTTTGCTAAGAAAGGAGTTTCTCTCCAAGATTTTCCAGATCCACTTTGATAGGAGGGCAATGTTAAAAGAGGAGATGTCTTTAACCCCCAGACCCCTTCAGATTTGGCTTTGCAGACAGACCCCCAACTAACTAGACATTTAACTTTGAAGGAGTGAGCCTGACCACTTCACAGAAAAGATCTTCTAATACTGTCAAATTTTTTAACCCATACAGGTAGTTTAAGGAAGGACATATAGTACAAGAGGAGGGAGGAGAGAACTGAGTTGATCAATGTCAGTCTCCCCCCGATAGACAAAGTTTTATTTTTCCAAAGAGCAAGTTTTTTAGAAAAAGAATCTAATAGGGGTTGTCATTCTCTTCTTAAAAGAGAACCTTTTTTCAAGGGAAGACCAAGATAAGAGAAAGGTAATTTACCCATA